CTCAAAGTTATGAAAAAACATGAAGTTTTAAACACTTAGAAAAATTTCTAAGTTAGAAAACTTTGACTTTTCAAAATGAAATCTTGAATTTTTTATTTCTTGATGAATAAGTTTCATATTTTGACATGTTTTGATGAATTGGGATCTTTGACATTGGATTTTGACCAAAAAGTCAAAGTTTGACTTTTCAGTATATAATTGACTTTTAATCAGTTGAGTGAAAATTCACTGTCAATCCAAATGATCTTGAGCAATGTTTTGGGTCATTCCATTAGGTCAAAATGATGCAATTGAAATCTTGAAATCATGCTTCAAACCAATTGACCATTTTCTAGGTCAAAAATCATAAATTGCCCTTTCTCAGTCAAAACCCTAATTTTGACCATTTTGCCCTTTTGATGATTTGATCAAATTTATTGAGGAATTATGGTCCAAAATTGATCCAATGATACATATGAGTTTATAATATTGATGTGGACCAAAAATTATGAAGTTTGACTATAAATTGGTCATATTTGACTTTTTCCCAATACAACTGATTTTTAGGTCAACTGCTCAATTGATTGAGCAAAAGTGTGATCCAAGACTTGAAACTTGACATGAGTAATCTTGGGGGTCCATAATGATCCATGAAATTCATATTAAGCATTGAAAGTTCAATTTCCTTGTGCAATATCAAACCCTAATTTTGATCATCAGTGCTTAAGGAGGTGTCTTGAGTTGATCAACCCTAATGCAGTCTTGAACCAAGAGAGATCTTTGTGAGAACATATTTGATAAGTGAGAGGGAAAATTTTGGGGTACAACAATCAGATATAGTCTAATTTCCCGAATAATTATGCAGGACGTCGTAGTATATTTTAGGGATACGATGTATTGTATACTTTGTTATACTTTGAGAATTGGCAGGTGATGATGAATTTTGTTGAGATACCTCTAATTATTGGCAGATATTAAGTTGTAGACTTATGGTCAATGTCGAATTGGGTTGAGTTATTGTTGAATTATTATTGTTGTTGTTATTACTACATTCATACTTTTGTTACATACATATCACATTAAGTTGAGAGCTCATACTCGACAAGCTGGCCTAGATTGACAAATATAAAGTTGAAGGCTTATGCCTTGTTGATGCCTCTATTAACTGATAAATTATTAAGTTGGGAGTTCTGCTCCGTTGATACCACATGCATGTGTATAAAAACAAGTTGCAGTTTATGTTGCATCCTGAGTTGTGTGTGGGTGAATTGATTATGTTAAATGTTGTTAAGAGATGTGAAGTGGTGATTTTGTATGAACTGATTCTAATATATTATTTATCATGCGTTCTATTATATTATTCAATATCTCACCTCTTATGTTTGAATGTTACCCCTATGTTGGTAATGTGCAGGTAATCCAGAGTGAAGGCTGTTTACCTTCAGTAGTTCGAGTCAGTGTCATCACTTTGATACATAACACTCAGGGTGATGAGCTCTTGTTACTTTATTGTTGTGATTACTTCCATTGCTGAATTTTAAAGTACTTTGTTGTTTTTAAAGTTGTTTCAGTTGGACAAAGATGATATGTCATTCGAATTGAAAATTGTGATTTCGCTTCTTATTTATAAAAGTTGTTTTATTCTAAAGACTAAATTATGTGGTTAACGGTTCATCCGCGTTTAAGTGTTATGTATTTGTTTTACATGTGATTAGATGAAGGTTTTTTTAAGTAGTAAGTGTAGCATCCTATTTGTATGCTGAAATTATGTAACTTTGATTTTAGTATTATTCGCCGGGTAGAAATGAGGTGTTACAGTATGATATTGTTTCTTGAGAAATGAAACTTCTGGCTTTCCTTGCGTTGGGCGGCGACCATGTCTTGTTGGTGATGGACTATGTGATCCATGTCGTCTGTGTCTCTGAGGAGGAGACTTCGAGCGACGTTTTTCTTCCAAAGCTCCAATCCTGGTATTCTATAGACGGATCAGAATGTTGGTCTGGGTAGGTGCAACGAGCATAACTGCTATGCCCGGGACGGTGTTGGCCGGTATTCGAACTGGTAGGAGAACCACCGACAGTTCTTCTGGGACTTTCTTGGACTTTCGATTTTCCAAGAAATGAATGTCATCGTCCTCTGCCTTAATTGAGGAAGGAGATGCAGCGCAACCATCCCTTTACAATGGAGTATCTTCATAGAGCTGATTATCTCTGTCAATGTCTGTCTTGCGGACAAGGGGAGATGACGGTTTTGCCAATGAGATGGTTGTCATCTTGATCAACCATGATGTTGAATCTTGAAATGTTATTTTGATCTTTAGTTTCCAGGGAAAGAAAGATAGGGAATTTTTTTTCCCAAAGACATCACGACTGATCTTACCGGTGATCAGAACCTGTAATGCACCGATAGATGACGTTTGTTGAGTTAAAATCAAGAAGGAGGGGGTGTATCTGCAAGGCAATCCAATGCTCAAGTAAGTAAGAGTCCAAAGAGATACAAGAGAGAGTTGGATTTTAGAGTGAATATTGAATCTATGACCCTCACAAGTGTAAGGGTTTATATAGTGCCTCTGACGCTTGGCCATTAGTTCCTGTTTTGGGGCATGGATATCAGGTCCCCAAAAATAGGTAACTACCAGAAACTATCCATTATGACAGACATATCTGCTCGGAACTAGCTGTTACTCCGAGCAGGGGGTAGTACAAGCAAGCACATCATAATTGTTCCTGGATGGCTGCCCCGCGCGTGACGAGCATGATGAAAAACTAGTCGTTGACGCAAGCAGAAGTAAGGTCCAAGGACAACGGTGGTCTCGTTGGCTCTGAGGGGCATCCAACCACGTGTCCCCTACTGAGGGGCAGAAGGGAAAATTGTCATTCGTCTGTCCAGACTGATTAGGCCATGACATGAATGCTCACACACCTTCCACATATCCATTGTCCAACTCCTATTATAGTCTCCTTGAATGTTGTAAACAAATCCAAATCACTAATAATAGCTTCTCAAATTGTATTTTTGCATTCGTCATTGCATATATGTAATGTCTTAAGATGTGATATCATACGAGAAATATCATTGCTCTCACCCTTGCCATTAAGGCAACAATGGAACACACATAATAAATAATACAAACCTCCTATCTGAGTAAACATCATAGAACAATGTAAAATTATGTCTTCTTTATTCAATATAAAAAACATTCTAGTTGACAAATTTTAATAAACACCTAATAAGTAATATCAAAAGAGCATTTTGTCATAGTTCTGATAATATCTAATTCAAACCATCAACAATATATAGTCCAAGACAACCATTGTGGTAACATTTTAAACAACAGTGGTTTAAAATATGATGATCATGAAGCTTGACAAATAATGAATGATGTTTTTTTTTTTGTGTGGTAGCAGGTTAGTTTTGATTTTGATTTTGATTGTTGTGGGGTTACTGAAAATTGCATTTAAATCTAATATTTATTTTATATTATATGATATGAAATGAATTGGATAAGAAAACAAGTTAATGAAAGTTAGGACAAGATGCATTTAGATTGTCTTCAATGTTAATTGATTCTTTTTAATAATATTTTTATTTTACTTAATGAGTAAAAATGGAAAACAATAATTTTACTGCATACTTATTTTACAAAAGACTATAGGAGAATTTCTTATCAACTGAACTAATTTTTATTAATACAAATAAAAAATATGGTATTCCCTCCATAACGATTTGTAAGTAAATTTAATTTTTTTTATATATTTTGATAATTAATATATTTAATTTATATATAGACTAAATACATTAATTATCAAATTTATTCAAAAAAATCAAATTTACTTATAAATCGTTATAGAAACGGTATTATTTTACTGATGAATTGAATTGAAAAATAAAATATTCGTGAATATTAACATCTTAAATTACAATCTAAAATATGAAGAAAACACAAATTTATATTTAGAATATATGATACAAAAACTAAAATTTTCTGATTAAAATGTTTAGACAATTTCAAGTATGAATCATTAATTATAAGTAATCAATTATATTAACTATTTTTTACTGATCCTATCATATTTTGCCATGTTTACCTTGTCGAGATAGATATAAACACTAGAGTAAGAGTGAAAAACAAATCTATAAATAGTAGTCTTACAAAAATAGTACAACGATTTGGAGTATTACTATTACTTATCAATAAATGAATTTGGAATTTTTAGATATTCTACTTACAAAGACGAGACACGGTTAGGGTAATTAAGCTCATAACCTCAACGTGTGGAGGAAGTCTAATATATTTAGGCACAACATATATAATAGACACACACTCATAAAACAAAAACAAATAAATAAATAACAATTAAATATTATATATATTTTACAAAATTAAATGATGTTTAAATTTATGTGTGTGCCCAAATAAGAATATCTCCCTCAACATGTACTTATGTCATCGACATACATAATCTGAAAACACATTCATATTGTGTGTGTGTGTAAACAACACACATATTCATGTTACTAATAAAACTTGTCTTTCCAACATATGAATGTAGTATTGAGTTTTGTTTCAAGTACTTAATGATCAAAAGACATGACATAAAAGAATCTACCTTAACCCATAGAGTAGAATGTCCATCATGATGATACAAGAAGGCTTTATTATGCCCCACCACACAACACACAACACACAACAAAACATCTCTCACCTACAAAGACACAAACGGTCAAAAATATTCATGGTAAAAAGAAAAACATAGTAAGATAAAGATCCAGCAAAAGGAGAAAAAAAAATGAAAAAGTTTACCTAGTGAACACAAATCTAACTTAACTTGACCATGAAACCAAGTTTTCATAGATAGGGTTTTATTTTTTCCCTTTGTATTTTCAGGGTTTGAATCAAATTGGACCCTTTGGTCCCTTCTTTTTCCAATCTTCATCTTTCTCTTTCTCTCTCTAATCCAAATGCCCGCGATCCTCTACATGTGATCTCACCGTAACTTCCATAAACCCTTTTTCCCATCATGTCTACCGGATCTCCCGCCGACGCCGACCACCGATCATCTCCCTCGCCGGAACCAGATTCCAAAAATCACATCGCCGTTCTAGAACCTTCCGCCGCCGCTCCTCTTCCGCCGACCACCAGAAGCAACCGCCCTTCCCGAGCTTGCACGATTCGCGCTGCGTCGCGAAACTATTCCTCCCAGCCGGTAATCGAACGGAAACCGAAGAAAGAGCATAAGCGGGAGGAACAGGAGGAGCAAGACGAGTCTCCTCCTCCGCCGCAATGCAGTAACAGTAAGATTGTTACGCCGCTTGTGGAAACGCCGTCTGAGTCGCAGCTCTCAAGGTGGAATATTCGCTCGATGTGGGAGTTGGCTTCTGTGCTTAATTTCTTGAATGTGAGCTTCAAAGGCGTGATCTTTTGAATTTAGATTGTGTTTTTTTTGTGTGTGTGTGTTTGTTTTGAAAAGGTTTTTTTTTTTATGGCGTGGTTTGTTGTTTGTTGCAGTTGTTTAGGCCTCTGTTGAATATCTCACTTGAATTCTCTGCTGAAGAGTTTGAGACTGCTCTTCTTAACCCCAATGACACTTTGTTTTACATTCACATGCCTTTGCTAAAGGTTCGTGCTTTTTCTATGAATGTTGCTTCTTCACTTTGTGAATTTAGTTTGTGTACTACTTATTGTTAATGTTCTATCATGATGCTTCTTTGCTTTCTTTGTTGAATTTTGCTAGTTTGCAATGTTTGTGCTTTCTAAATTTCATCACATGAATTGCAAGTTCTTGTTTCTTAAGATGGTTTGCTAGTTTGAAATCTTTCATTGGATGTTGGCAAGTTGATAACTCACATTTTGCATTGCTCTTGGTTATTATTGTTCCAAGCATAAATGCAGCCATGTGTTATGAGGACATCTTTATTAGAAAGGCGATGGCTTTCTACATGAGGGGGTTAAAGGCAGGTGATAAACTTAAGGAATGCCCAACGGTTGGGATTCGGGATGTAGCTTTATTCATTGGGCTGATTGACTTCTAATTACATTATTACTAATTGATGATATGGCATTGAACTTGACAAATACAATATTCTAAGATGGTAATAACTGCTTGTGACTGAATTGCATGCTTGAAAGAGATTGTTAAGTAGAGATAAGGTACTTAATTGGGAGGTTTTTATTATTTAATTATATGTTAAGTCCTTTGCTTACTTGGTAAAAGCAACAAGTATGAACTTGCACTATTCCTTTTATCCATTATATGAGTGTTGGGACCTTGTTTGTTTGTGATAGTCTGATCTAAAAGCCCAAATTGCCTCTGAAAAGTAGTATCACGTTCATTCCTTGATGTTTGAACTTGTATGAAGTAAGAACAACAATGATTTGTTGCCTGAATTAAATGGTTACAATTTTGTGAACAATTTGCTCCTGTTTTAAAGCTTAGTCTGTTTTTAGCCATATATTGGCTTTGACTCTGTTCCTAATGTTCCGGATGCAAATCAATCTCAATGGTAACCAACATTAATCTTGCTAAACGATAATGTTTCTTCATCGTCATAAGTGTATTGCATAAGTAAAAGGTTAAGATTTAAAAATTCTTTAAACTTTGGCTACAGGCATGTTCCTTACACCGAATTATTACTGAAAGGTTTTTTTTGCATGAACTATCACGAAAAAGAATACACTGAATTGTTTGAAGATTAAGCACTTCATTGAAATTCCCGCATTTCAGTGTCAAAATGATTATATTGGAGGCAGGATATTCAACTGGTCTTCCCTGATCTCATGAGTTATGGACTCAGATGAACTGATAAGTAAAAATAATCCTAATCAGTAAAAATGATACCTGACCTTTTTTTTTTTATATCGAAGTTTGTTTTTAGTTTGAACATTATAGTTACAGCTTTCTTGCACTGGTCTCTTAGTTTTGCGGTGACTGTATTTTTGCCAGCCTCTATGACCAATTTGTCATGGATAGCGGCTTAAATGGCAGATTTTAGGCTTTCTGCCATAGTCAACCATTCACAATCTATAACATGGGTTTCTTGCAAAAGGGGGTGGATATGTTGTTGAGTAGCAAACATTGAATTAGAGTAACCTAAAGTGAAGGATGCATGTTTAAAGTTATTGTACTTTCAAATCTTGCAAGAGGTGTCTGAAGTTGTTTCAGCTATCGTTCTATTGCAATAATCTCTCAATGTATATTACTTTTAGAAAGTTGTACTTTCTTCTCTCGTGTTTGCAAAGCCGCTGATATTAGCATTTATTATTCCTTTTGGTAGGCAATCTCTCCTATTACTCGAATGGCACTCACATTTGATGCTTGGATAACAATATTATGCAGAAAATTGAGAGATTGGTGGCATTGGTCTCTTAGTGTTATCAAATATCGGCCATGGTAGATTGTCGTGGCAATTTCCCCCATCCGCTATGGCCAATTTGTATAGGATGGTGGATGGTGGATTTAGCGGCCTACTGCCATGGTCAGCCATCTGCTATCAATAACAATGGGGTGACTGTGTTGTTGAGACAAATATTAAGTTAGAGTAGGGTAAAGTCAAGGATGCTTGTTTGAATTTGTTTCTACTGCAATGATCTTTCTCAATGTCTATTACTTTTACAAAGTTGTACTTTTTTCTCTTGTGTTTGCAAAGCTGCTACTGGTTGGATTTTAACATTTATTATACCTTTTGATAGGCAATCCCTCCTATTACACGAATGGCACTCACACGTGATACTTGGATAACCGTATTATGCAGAAAATTGAGAGATTGGTGGCATTGGGTAATAAGATACTTTTACCCTGTGCTTTTATTTAATAATAATGTGTAGTTTATTTAAAATTTTCTAGAACTTATAAGAGGATGAAATCAAATGCAGGTTGCCGAGGGGGATCTTCCGATTGTTGCTTCACATGGGTAAATATTCTTGCAATATTTAGATTCCTATAACGTCACTATATAATTCCCAAGTCTCAAATTATGCTTATCTTGGCAGAACGGAGATTGAAGTTTATAAATCACTTGATCCAGCTGTCCGTATTATCATCTTAAAAGCATTATGTGACATTCGTGTTGAGGTACTGTTATTGTTGATTTATCTGTATATTACATCTTTTATCTTAAATGAGTGAACTTTGGAAGATTACGCATATTCATGCCATACCCTGAATTAACTTCTATTTTGTTCTGTACAAGACATTAGCTATTTTTTCCGCTGTTTTTGTTTTGTTCAAATCTGAGTAATGTTCAAATCTGTGCATGACTCCTCTGTCTGTACCGATGATGTAATGTTCAAATCTGTGCATGACTCCTCTGTCTGTACCTATGATGCAATGATCAAATCTGAGTAATATCTTGCAGCAAGAAGATATCCGAAGTTATATTGACAACTCAATTAAACACGGCGCTCAACTTTCAACGTTCCGTAAAGAGCGTATTGGAGGTGATTCAAATGGAATCTCTTATTGGTAATATACTTTTTCTTTCCCTTCATCATGGTCATGATTTGGAATGTTATATTAGAAAGTTGTTATACATGTAAGTCTGTTTATAGTTTTATTCATTTGAAATTTGATTAGTGCAGGTATGAAGATGACCCCGTCATTGGTCATAGGTTGTATAGAGAAATAAGGAAAACTGAAGTGATTCAACCAAGGAAAGGGAGATCAAGAGGTTCCCAGGTTCTTTCTAGTACGTCATATCAGTGGGAGGCAGTTGCTACCAATTTTGATGAATTTCAAGATGTTTCTGTAAGTTGTTGCTTTAGCTGGTTGATCTATATTCTTGTTAGTTACAACTTTCCATAGAACAGTGAACATGTAGTAGTTGTTAGGTTGATTGCTTGGTGTTGGTATTATAGATTGTTGACCCAGATAATGAATCACTTCAAAAGTTTAATGGTAAATACATAATAGTGTCGTTTTGTTGGGAGCCGCAAAATTATTCCTAATTTTATTATTAGGAATCCCAGCTTATGTCAAAAACAAACTTTATTAAAATACAGAACTGTAATATAGTAGGAATCCCAATTTATGTATTGTCTATGAATTACAAATATATTTAATTTCTTAAATCGCAACTTCGTGTTTAGAATCATCACCCAAGATTTAAAGATTGTATTAATATTAATTTCATTTCATTATTCAATTTTTCAAGGCTGCTAATCTAATAAACCATTTTTCAATGCCATTTCACAAGGCTGCAAATAAGTTACTAGCACACTGAAGCTATTATAGACGCATTGAAAAGTAGTGGTTGAATAGAATTTGACTAAACCTGATTAAAGAAAATTTCTGCAACAATTGTTCACGGGTTCACATTATTGATCGAAACCTTTTTCTTATGTGCACAAGAAAACTATATTTCTCTAGAAAAAGAAATTTACTAATGCTTGCAGAAGTAATGCAAGTACAAGAAAAATGATAGCATCCCTTTTGAATGTTATCCGGTTTGATATCTTTGGGGAAAAATACCTTGTGAAAATTATCAGAGAATCACACCTATAAATGACAGCTTGATTTCTGGAAATCCAGTGACAATCTTCATTAATTTAATAGAACTTAAACAAAAAGGAATACATTAGTGGTACTTATCGGTTTAGTGGTTCTAAACAAAGGCTTGCAAAATCTTTTGCGATTATGGGATAGATTGCTCTCGAAAAAACAATAAATTTATACAACTTTGTCCAGCATGTTTCATAATTAATACCTAACTCTTGTTTAATGCGGAAGCAATTGTCATGGTCGTTTGTTTGGTATTCTGCACTTGATCATTGCTATTTTATTCTATGCACAACACTTCAACAGTGCTGATATTTGTTTGCATCCAGATGAATGGTGTTTTGCCCTTTTTTCCCCCTAATTTTTGTTGTCTTAGGATAAAAAACCAAAGAAAAGAATTAGGTACCCCTTCCGCTGCTTTTATTTCAAATTGTGTATGCTTTTTCTATATGAATTAATCAATTCTTTCACCTGTTTATGCAGGAGAAGCTTTTCTCAAGTAAAAACAGAACAGAGACTTCTGTGGGGAAAAAGCTGAAGATAGACATGCTTCCTGAAATTGAGAAAGTTCACAAGGTACTCTAGGGTTGAGAAATCTGACTAGAATTGCTATTCCAAGAATTTAACTCACAAGTGTGCTATTTTTTTAGAAAATTAAAAGATTCTTGATCCGTGCTTCTTTAGAGTATCTCAGTCACATTTAACTGATACAAAATATCTTGTCACAGAAAAAAGAGAGGTTGCTGAAAAAGCAGCACAGAGAAGCTCTTCTTCTTGATAACTACTTGGTTGCTGACGCGCTTTCTTCTGGACGTGCACTTCGTGACAGGAAACCTGTGACTTACACTTTCGGTAAGAGCAAACAGTTCAATTATAACTTGAACCAACGTGGTATTGGCAGTTGATGCCTATATTACAAGAGGATTTGGATTTGACGGGGGAGTGTTCTGGAAATGCTAGTCTAGTACTTGGCCTCATTACTAGGATAATAGGATGATTGGATCAGCTTTTTGTAATGCATTATCATAAAATAATAGAATAGTAATCTTGACTAGAGTCCTTATTTCCTCTTTTTCCCACCTAAAAAGTTGGATTTATATCATTGTTGTTGGGTCCATGTTCCTTATATTGTTTGAAGGACCTGAACTGGATTCATTAATCCATAACTACATCATGCCTTTTGGGGAATATCTGGTTTTAGTAGTACCACAGTTTACCCAAGGGTGAGGGGGCTTCTAGTGCTGCTATAGGGATAATGTACTGAAACTTTCGGGTTATGCCTGCCTATGTGATAAATATCAATGAATTTTTCCTATCTACGATGGTTAGCCCTTTTCAACATGGTAGGTTTTTTAAACAAAAATAAATTTTTTATATCATACTTGGTTTTTGGTAATATAAGGTGAAATTTAGTGCAACGGCAAGGTTGCACTTGACATACCCTTTGACATGGTGGTCACTGATTTTAGTTGTAGAAACAACTTCTCCCATGCTGCCTTGCCCTCCACGTTATCTAATGATTTTAGACTTATGAGTTGGGCCATCCAACAAAAAATGTGAAATTGATTGCATCTACCATTGTGGTGGGGGTATGTGGCGAGCCAATTGAAAAATGAAAAAATTTAGTGTCATTATTGTTTTTGTTTGGATATGAATCATCCACTATGTGCTTGTTTACACTAACCTAACTTTTGCCACTATTGTCGTTGCAGATGATTATGATCGGTCCATCAATGAGGCAATAAAAATAACCAAGTATATGCTAATACCCTTTCCCTCTGTATTTGTGTGTGTGTGTGTGTGTGTCAGTCATACTCGTTCACTGATACTGTGTACTCAAGGCGTATGTATTTGTTTCCTCTATTGTCAGGCGAAAACAGTCATCCCCAGAACCTATGCCCAGGAGAGAACCAGTACCAAAGCCTGAAGTTTTGACTAATGGGAACCATGGTCCTTCACATGCTGCTGCACAAGAGCAGAATTTTACTATCTCATCTCCAGAATCATTTGACTCTGATGATGATGAATATGATAATACTGACAATTTGGACCGAAGGTGTGTAGTATTTGTTTCTTCCAAATCTGTTCTGATGCCTTGTATCAAAATTTTGACTAATAATTTCATTTTAACAACAGTGGTCGTCGAAGAAGGAAACCTAAGCGGTATTCAGAGAATGAGTTTGTTGAAGAAGTATCAGATTATGAGGCAGAATTTGAAAGTGATGATGATATTGTTGGAGAGGTTGTATATGATGAAGAATATCTCAAGAAACGTAAGCAGAGAAGGAAGCATTCTAGCAGCTCTGAAGGGGATGAAGAATATCAGTGGGATGATGATAATGTAGAAGATGAAGAAGAAGAAGAGGAGGAGGATGAAGACGACGACTCGGCAAGCATGAGTGAGGATAGTGACAAACCCCGAAAAGCCAAACGGTTGCCTGGCCGAACTAGGAGGGAAACTAAACTCAGGTCTGTGGGTGAGATTCAATCAAGTCCAAGACGCAGTAAGAGGGCAACTAGAAATCGTATAAATTACAAACAATATGAGTTGTCGGATTCAGAAACCGAGTTCACCAAACCTGGGAAATCTAATGCATCAGCGGATCACTCAGATCCCAGTGAGAATGAAAATGATAATGATAATGAGAACGATAATGAGAATGGGGAATATATGGTGGAAAGTGAAGATTCAGATAGTGTTGAAGATGAAGATCAGGAAATGAAAGTAGATGAGCCTGTCACTGTTCCTTACCCTGCAGTAGAAGAGAATGAACCGAACCAGCCTCTTGAAAAGTCAAGTAGTCCTCCTGGTCAAGATGAAGTCGAGGGAACGCGAAAGAGACGTTTCCTTGATTTGAATGAGCTTGCCCCTAGTCCTGGATTTGATGACGGTCCAAATACAATAATGAAAGACGAAGACAATGATTACTGAAGCTTCTTCCTCTTCTGTATGAGTGCAGGGATTGTAGTTTTCTATCTATAAGGGAAGAAGCCTATGTGTGTGATAATAGAATTATAAGTTTTGTTATAAGCCCCAGAGGAAGTTATTAGCAGGTCTCCTCCTATGGCATAATCTGAGCAGCAGCTCTCGGTGCATGATTTACCGCCAGAAACAGTAAGTATGATAAGCTATGTAGATTAGTTAGTTAGTTAGTTATTTTTTTCTTCTTCCAGAGGGTCCATCAAAATGAATGAGAAATTGTATCGGGTTATATATTTAGCTCATCCAATCTATGTACAATAGTTGTTAACAGGTACTGTAACTTTAAAGAGAAGCAGCTTTCAGATTATAAACCCTGTAGTTCTCTGTCTTGAACTCTGATCAGCATGAACATAAGCGCGTTTCAGTTAACATTTTTTCTTTTCGTATTTTGATCTGTTCGAAAACTGGTCTTTTAATGGTAATGAAAATGTCTAGGGAAGACTGAGGATCTTTTGAGTAAATCAATTTAGTTTCTTAAAAACTCAACATTAGTAAGAAATGATGGATGATAGTGATATAGGTTATTAATCATCTATGCCTAATAGGGGTGTTTAAAATAAAACTGGTCCAATAGAAAACCGTAAAATTGAACCGAATCAAATCGAAACCGTAAAAAATCGCATTTGGTTCGGATGTGTTTGGGTCATTTTCTCACGGAACCGCGTGATTTGGTTTAGTTCGCGGTTTGTATTTTACAAACCGAACTAAACCAAACAAAACTGCATTATATTATAAAATTTTAATAACCAATATATATTTCTTTAATTCTTTAGAGAAATCAACATGTATTATCAGTATATTTTATCATGCTTTGTATTATATTTATTTTAATTTATAAATCATAAAAAAATAAAATATTATTCATTTATAAATACTATTTTCACATAATGTATTTTATCGTATTTTTTGTATAATATTTATTTAAGAATGCAATCTTGTCTATATCATTCTTTAGATTTAGATAAAATTATAATACGTAATTTTATGTATCAAATTATCAACTTATTTTGATAATTATAAATTTTTTTATGGTAATCTATGAACAATTAAACGTAAAATTATATTTCCCTCTATATTTGTATGTATGGCTTATTAATTTTTTTGTAAAAAACCGAACCAATCTAACCAATCTAAAACGAATTAACTTGGTTTGGTTTGGTTTTGATTTATTTTTAAAAATCAATCGAACTAAACCAAACTGCATGTTTTTTCTCTTGCGGTTCGGGTGATTTTTTGCTTTAAAACCGCCCAAACTGCACCGCGAACACCCCTAATGTCTAATGACTAATGAGTTGATTCGGTATTGACTAGAAAAGAAGTAAAGAGTTGATGTGGTATTATTTCAAATGTGTATTAAAATGGTATTTAGAACTTGTTAAGAAAAGGTTGTAGTGGGATTTTACTTTTGGGAATTTTTTATTCTACTCCTATATTTTTTTTTGAACTTTTGGCGAAAAGTAAAAAATATCTCAAGTTTTTAGAGATCTATTTCTGGACACACTATATTTTCACAAAATAATAATGGAATATATTCGGAGATGTATTTTTAAAAACACTATAATACGAAATATAGACGTGTAAATAGTTAAAAATGAATTTGAAAATATTTTCGAAGATGTGTCTATGAATTAATTTTTAACAAAAATGTAGTGACTGCGTTAAAATAGTTTAAAATGTAAATATTTTCGGATATACATATTCGAATTAATTTTTGGTAAAAATGGAGTAGCTGATTTAAAATACCTAAAAATGGACTCAAATTTTTTTTGGTGATACATCTTTGAATTAATTTTTGACAAAAATAAAGTGACCGCGTTAAAATAATTGAAAATGCACTCAGGAATATTTTTGGAAATGTATTTATGAATTAATTTTTTGACAAAAATGTAGTGGTTACTTGATTTACGAAAGATGATGTGATATAAAAAACATTCAAGATGCATCTATGAAAAAACTAGAGAATAATTTAGAGTTTTTAGAAATATGAGTCACAAAAAAATTGCCTTATTTTTTCAAGCCAAGCCGGTGACACTCTCCAATATTTTCATCAAATAATAGAGTTACCTAAACATTTTTTCCTACTCACACCCTTTTCTTTTTTATAAAATAAAAATACACTTTCATTAGGGGTTAAAATAGGTTAGGCTTTATAAGATTTGAGTTTCGTCTATAGTCTATTATAAGTTCTTTTTTTAGGCCTGATCTGACCTTTTTAAAAGTTTGATCTGATCTGAAAGCCTATTTAAAAGTCTGATTTTTATTAAGATTTTCAATTAATCCAAACTACTTAAGAAGTCTTATAAGTTGACCTATATATGTATATATAGGTCGACCTATTTAGCCTTTGTTTTAATATATATGTATAGATAGGTCAATTTATTTAACCTTTTTTATAATATATATATGCATATATAGACCATCTCATTTAGCCTATTTTTAATATATATATAAAAATATAAGTCGGTCTATAAAATTTGATAGACTTTTTTAATAGCCTAAGTCTAACCTATTTAATTAAATAGACTTTTAAAAAAGCATAAGTCTGACATTTTTTTAAAATAGATTTGGTCTGACCTGACCTTAAGTAGGCTAGGTTTTAGACCCCTGTAGGCCAATCTGACATATTCTCACCCATATCTCTCACCCTTCTCTTTCACTCTCTGTACCCACTCCCTTAATTAACTCCCCATAAAATACTTTTTAGAGGATAAAACTTTGAAAATGCCTTTTAAATTGCTAAAGAAAAAATGAATGTTTTGGAGTGTGGATCAACTAAAGCGTCAAATAGAGGATGAAAAAGCTAGGAGAATGGTGGTTAGGGGTAGGGTGGTTTGTTGGATAAAAGTAAAGTATTTTAGGAAATGAACATACTTCCCATATCTTTAAATTAGTTGAGTAACGATGAAATATATAAGAGAGATGTTCTTCGTGACCTAAACTCACATGGAGACTTCCTGTCGTTGAAGTAAACAAATGTAATTTACTAATATTGATTCAAATTGGAGTGTTTGTGTTAACAAGATACGAGCTCTATTTGTATAAGTTTTAGATTATTATAAATCATACATTTGCAACCTTGTCTTAGAGAATGGTTAGATATTGAAATTCAGATTCACTCCCTTTTATCATATATGAAGAATACACATGGGGTGTATCCGAATATTGAATTTTGGATTCTCCCCCGTTAACATCACATATACACAAAATATAAAATTTGTTTAGATATTGAAATTTAGATTCTCCATGTCAGCATCACATATACACATAATATAGAGTTTGTTTATAAATTGGAATTCAGATTCTCCCCTGTTAGCATCTCGCCAGACCAGTTGCCAGTTCCTATTTGGTGGACTTGTTTTATAACATACAAACACATAAAAATGTTAATTTTAATATTGATATAATGTTAGATATACATTAAAACACATTAAAATGTATCAAAATTACATTCATGAAAATAACTAATTTATATTACTTCATTATTTATACAAGTAATGTTAGATATATATTAAAACACATTAAAATGTATCTTGATTACATTAAAAAAATGTGTCATTACCTAAATATATTGTAAGATATTATGCTTTTGGATTGAAATATGTTCAATGTCACATCAGAAATAAAGTTTCTTTTCTTCAGTATGTATATGACATACAGTCGGATGACCATCTAACTTGTGATTCAAACCATGCTTATGTACATCATAAATCACATTAAATTTCTTTGTCCAACTTAAAAGAACATTCATATTTCCTTGTTTCGGTGTCATCATGTTTTAACTTTCCGATAGATTCTTTATACTGATCTCTTATTTAACATCTCATCGTAACAAATGTATATTAGAATCAAAAATTGACCTCCTGATAACAACGCCAAACCCTATTTTGACAGCCTCCATGCATACTCATTCAAACATATGTTTACGTAAAGTAAATTCATGTTTTTTTGGTAAATTTGTTTCGAACATCAACGTAGACCACAACTTGGTGAGATAATTCTAGATCACCATCCTTAGATGCATTAACTTTAATCACATCATAATGGTGTTTGATCACATCATCAGAGTGTTAGATCACAATATCAAGGTGCAACATAACTACAACCAATAAAAAAAAGGCAATTTCAATCAATATTGAACTAATATGGATTTCAATGACTAACCCTTATAGAATTCGAATTTCAATTTCTGAACTCTCAACATTCATAGTACATAAAGAAAAATCAGATTATCTATATAGTGATCAATGATATAAATGTACATTACCTAAAATTCTAAATAATTTTGCGTCTTTTGAAGTAGAAATACAATTGAATGTTGTTTGTAAATGAAAGTCTTGATTAAGAATACAAGGAGATTTTTGAGGGTTTACACTATTTTTGTGTTTGGATCATGAGTAGTGCTATTCATGTAAGGTTATGCAACATTCATTTTTTTGCATGATATTTTCGGGTTTCAATATCTGAAGTCTACTTCGAAATTTCCAAATTTAGACAACTTTTTTAATTTGGATGAGTGTTTGTCGGATGAAGAGATTTGATGTATAATTGGGGCGCCCGAATTTCAATATCCAAATAATGCGAAAAGACATTTTTGAATTTCCATAAGTTTAATAAACATTATATGAGTGTACTAAACACCACCCTAAATAAAATATAAGGGTGCAAATAGGAACCAACTACTAGACGGTTCAATTAGTCTTTCACCCCTATAACTCAAATCAGACGAACGATTTGTACGCCAATATCGTCGTGGACCTCCACCAAAATTTTCTCTGATTTCGTCCCGCTCAGACATAGTTCACTATCTTTCGAGTTCTGACAGGTATGCTTTCACTCGAATCCTTCACAAAAAATCGAAATAGAAAAAAAATAAATATATATATATATATATATATATATATATATATATATATATATATATATATATATATATATATATATATATATAT